TGTCCACCCCTCCTCTGTGCCCACTCCTCCCCTGTACCCACCCCTCCTCTGTACCTACCCCTCTCCTCTGCCCACTCCTTTCCTTTGCCCATCCTCTTCCCCCAGCCTTTGGCCAAATGAGAGCATCAAGGAAGTGAGCCGGGATGGTGGAAAGGGATTGGCCAACACTACTTTGAGCACAAAGAACCCCCTCCTTGGGGTCTGCCCCTCTTTGGGCAGACGTTACAGAACCGCAAGAAATTCTAGTCTCATTCCGTGGAACTCTTGCTCCCAGCCGACCTTGTCACCTACATTGTGCCTGGAAGTGCATTTACCTTTTAGACATATTGGAAGGGGAAGAGAAGCGACTTTGGGGTGAAGTGGGCTTGCCAACGAATCGACTTCTGATTTCTCCAGTCTAAATCTCATCCATAGCGGTTGTAGGAGTCTCTGTAGGTAAACTAGTTACACATGGACCTGGAAGTGTATTTTAGATTGTAATTCCAATCTTTATTTTACCCACTCAAATGCTAGATGCTTTTCCTTAAAATGTTCTCCTTCAGTCTTTAGACAGTCTAGTTTTCAATGATAAAGAAAATGAAAGTAGAATCTAATAATAAAAACGAGATTTAAATGACTTGTTTGGGGTTTACAGTTTTTTGTGGTGTTCAAGATTAGATTTGCATCTCCCCTTCCCAAGAAGCCCAGTAAAACTTTAATTACTAAAAATTTTATTTTTTGATTTATTTTTATTTTATGTGTGTGAGTGTTATGCCTGTATGTATATAAGTGTGCTGGTGGAGTACAGAAGAGGGTGTCCGATCCCTTGGGACCAGAGCTAAGCCATGTAGGTACTGGAATTTGAGCCCAGGTCTTCTGCAAGAATAACCAGTGCTCTTAATCGCTGAGCCATCTCTCCAGCCCTAAAAACTTTTAAAAAGGCATTTTTCCTCATATTATCCTTCCATATCAGCCTTGATTACAGTTATTTGAGTTCTTTACTGAGTTCTTCAGAATAGGCTAAATCCCATATATTTTATTTTAGAAAATATTATTTAAAATTATGTTTATGCATGTGTGTCTCCCTGGGTATAAGTGAGTGCAGGTGCAGTGGTGGTCAGAGTCCTTGGGTCACCCTGGAGTTGGAGTTAATAGGTGGTTGGATGCGGGTTCTGGGAACTGGGTCTGAGTCCTCTGCAAGAGCAGCAAGCACTTGTTAACCATTGAACCATCTCTCCAGCCCCTAGATCCCATGCATTCTGAAATAGGAATGAATGGACAAGGTTTTGGAGGTGTGTGGAGGATGCAGAATAGTTGGTCCAATCCTGCAGTTGTATTGCTTTAGTAGTTTGCCGGTGACGCACTTGAGGTGAATTTTAGCCAGAATATTGGTTACGTAAAAACCAAGTGTTTGTTGGCAGAACTTCAAAAAAATAAGGCCGGTATTTGCGAATGGTTACCTCAGGGTAAGTCAATATTTGACAATAGCAAAACCAAATTTACTCCTCAAGCTGAATATTTCCAATGGCTTTTGTATGACTTTACACTAATGATTCTTTTAGAGTAATTTAAGAAAATGATATTTAATAAGGCAGGCTAAACAAATTCTTGCAGATGCAACCTTCCAAATTCTACTGTGGAAACATTCCAGTGGATTCATAGGGGAAGAGTAATCATAGCCTGAAATGACTGGACTGCTTACAGCATTCAAGCTATGTGGTCAGCTTGTTAAGAGTACTTGGTTTGCATTTCCAGGCCCTGAGTCCTGCTAGATCTGTGGCAACAGCTTCCATCACATTATTTTGACTGAAAGCTCTTAGTTCTCTAGTGAATACTGGGAAAGATGAGCAAGAGGCACAGCCAGCCTCTCAGAGTTAACTCACCTTGGTTAAGGACAGGTGTCCTCATTACTTCTGGTGTCCTGGTCACTTTCTGTTGCCACCTTGCTGCCTTCAGGAGTCCTAAATGTGTTCAGGAACGAAGCCATTCCCTTGCCAGACAAAGAATACTAGCAGAAGACCCTTACCAGGACTGCGAATTTTAAAACTTGGCTGCTGTCCTTTTTAGAAACAAGAGTCTAGGGACTGAAGAGTTGGCTCAGTGGTTAAGAGCACTGGCTGCTCTTGCAGGAGACCTGGGTTTGATTCCCAGCACCCATATGGCAACTAGCAACTGTCTGCAACTCCAGCTCCAGGTGATCTGATGCAGCCTTCTAACCTCTGTGTGCATTGCATGACACAGGTGCACTTACATACATGCAAGCACTACACTTATGCACATAAAATAAAAAAATATAAAAAAAGAACCTCACAGTGGGGACTGCATGAAATCAAGTGTCCTGAAGTATTAGGACCTATGATAAAAGTCTGCCAAGTTCTGGACAGCTTGAAGAGGGACTTACCATGGTCAACTCAAAGGAAAAGATAGAAAAAGGCTGATCTGTATAGTAGTGATGCGTAGCAGAAAGTTAACAGTTCTTAAGTAGCTAATTACCTTGTCTGCTTCTAATTTTTAAATCAAGGAAGTTTATTTCATTTTTTGAGGCAGGGTCTCATGTTTCCAAGGTTGGCCCTTGACTCTTACATGCTTGGGGATGGCTCTGAACTCCTGACTCCTGCCTTCTAATTTTTAAATCAAGGAAGTTTATTTCATTTTTTGAGGCAGGGTCTCATGTTTCCAAGGTTGGCCCTTGACTCTTACATGCTTGGGGATGGCTCTGAACTCCTGACTACTGCCTTCTAATTTTTAAATCAAGGAAGTTTATTTCATTTTTTGAGGCAGGGTCTCATGTTTCCAAGGTTGGCCCTTGACTCTTACATGCTTGGGGATGGCTCTGAACTCCTGACTACTGCCTTCTAATTTTTAAATCAAGGAAGTTTATTTCATTTTTTGAGGCAGGGTCTCATGTTTCCAAGGTTGGCCCTTGACTCTTACATGCTTGGGGATGGCTCTGAACTCCTGACTCCTGCCTTCTAATTTTTAAATCAAGGAAGTTTATTTCATTTTTTGAGGCAGGGTCTCATGTTTCCAAGGTTGGCCCTTGACTCTTACATGCTTGGGGATGGCTCTGAACTCCTGACTCCTGCCTTCACGTCTGTGGTTTATTTGATGCTGAGGATTGAACCTGAGGCTTCATACATGTCAGGCAAGCACTCTACCAGCTGAGCCTCAGCCTGAGAGAATTCTTTGTTTCAAATTAAAAAATACAGTTTAAAAGAGGAACTAGGAACCAGGATACTTTTTTTTTTTAACTGTAGAAATTGGCTAGTGGCCCTGTGAGTTTAAGGGCAGAAGGAAACTGAAGGGCTCCTTTGTGCTGAACTCTGCGCTTCAGCATGGGCTCTTTACTGCACCCTTGGATGGTTTTGGCTGAGTTTGACAAACGGCAAAACTGAAATTCAGAAAGACTGACAAATTCATCTAGAAATGCTCTTAAGATCCACAGATAGAATTTTAATCTGAATTATAAAACACTGGATTTTCTTCCCTACGCTTAACCATTTTCCAAGCCAGTTTGGAAGAGAAAATTATTGATGTTGGCTATTTTTAAGTCCATCTTAATTCTGTTCTAATATTTCTGCCAAGCGCAGTAACCTGAACACAGAGGCTTCTTTAATAGAAATGTGTTGACTGGGTTCTGGTACATCATGGTGTGGGCAACTTGTGACCTTTTTCAGTTGAGTTAAATTGAGAGATCATCTTTGAGAACTTTAAGAATACTAGTAATATTTTGAATGTTTATGTTTTGCTATTGATACAACTACTTATAAAATTGAGGGGACTGGGCAGGTAAATAGGTATTAGCTGAGCAGGTAATTCTTGTGCAAAATGAGAATATCGAATTTAGATAATCTCAAAAGATTCTTTTTCCTTGCAGTCTTTTTAATGGATTTTGTTTTGAGTCAGAGTCTCACCAGTCAGCTGAGGCTGGCCTTAGGCTGGAGACCTTCCTGCCTCAGCCTCCAGATGCTGGGATTATAGCCCCCAACCCTCTTAGCAATTACTTGCAGTTTTATTTTAACATGTTAAGATATACTGTTAAATAGTTGAATAAGATGGTTTGGGATGTTCTGTGTGATATACACACACACACAAAATCAACAAATTAAAAAAATGTATTATATTTGAGGAGGAAGCATGAAAATTTACATCAGGCTAATTAGTAGAGGTGATAAACATTACCACTGAAATCTACCCGATGACTTTATAGACATACATAGGTGCCAAGGATCCAAGTGCAACCAATTATGACTAGTAATAATCAGATACATACAGATTAGAGATGCATGTGCCAACATCTCAGTGTTAGTAGCAAAAATATATTCTGCAAGGAACAATATATTCTAAAATGAAATGGAGATCTTTTTTAAAGGTTAACTCATTCAATTTTATGTCTTACAGGGCTTATACTGAGTTCAATATTGTATAACTATTCAACTGTGAACCTAGAAATTTAACAGCCACTTGTGAAAGAGATGTACTCTTGCTCTGGAGTGTGTTACTGAATATGTTAAAGCTGTAATGAAATGCTTCTTGTAATCATGTAGTTATTAAAAATTAAAGATATACTGTTAAAAGAATTTTTAGAATTTTATTTTTTATTTTATTTTTTATTTTTTTGGTCTTTTTGAGACAGGGTCTCCCTGTAGCCCAAGCTGTCCTGGAACTCACTATGTAGACCAGGCTGGCCTTGAACTCACAGAGATCCACCTGCCTTTGCTTCCTGAGTGCTGAGATTAAAGGTATGCACCACCACGCCCAGCAGAATTGTTTTTTAATAACTAGTTTTTTGAGTGTTTTTCTGCCTGCCAAAAAAGGTCACAGAGCTGTAGACTTTGCTGGCAAAATATCCGACCCTGGGAACAGAAGAGCTTGTGGACCTGAGGCTCTGCTTCTGAGGAGCTCTGGCTTTGCCTTTCGGTAGACCACATTGTTCCCGCAAAGCTTACCAGATCCTTTTGATTTGATTTTGCTTTTGCCTAGTCTGTTTGTCAAGTAATTCAGGCCAAGTTCAAGTTCATTCTTAGTGTCTCTTTCTTATTAATTTATGGCTGTAGAAAACAGAGTAGTTATGGGGCATGGTGACACACGGCTTTAATCCCAACATTCAAGAGGCTGAGAAAGAGGCAGAAGCAGATGAATCTCTGTGAATTCCAGGTCAGCCTGGTCTACATAGTGAATTCCAAGCCAGCCAGGGCTGCACAGTGAGACCCTCAGAAAAAGAAAGGAGGGAGGAGAGTTCTAGTGACCTTTATGTTTCTTCTGTTTTGATAGTTTTTCCTTATATTTTTTATATAACTAAATATCCTGTATATATAATTTTATTTTCTTCACTGAAACAGATGGTTGTACATATAATGTATATGATTCTGTTGACCCATTCTGATGTTATTGAGCATTTTTTATTTACCAGTGTTTCACCACATTTCAGAGTTTTTCTTTACAGTGAAATCTTGGGAGTAAAATTACTGGTTTAAGTACAAACACTTTTGAAGCTTTATAGTGGCTCAGTTATTATCAGAGCTCCAGTTGGGTCTGCTAAGTATCATCTGAGAAACCACATTGTATTTATTTGCTGAACTGATAGTACTTTAAGGTAGTCGGTCAAACAGTAGGTATATACTGTACAGATGTGAAGAGTCTAAGGAAGAAGCTGTAAACCAGATCTCGCACTTTGCAGTGGTGTTTGTTTTGTTTAGTTCATTTACTCCTTTTTTTGGGCAGTCCTCTCCAGCCTAAGGATTCTTGTCTTACCTCTTTCGGTTAGTTTGAGAGAAAATGCGCTGGAAGTTATGGACCTCCTCCTTAGGAAAATGTGCCTTTGCATTTAATTGTGTTTTTTATTTTAGGAGTTATTGGACCCTCTCAAGACTGTTCCTGGATCTTGGGTTACAAATCTGTATTCTGGTCTGAACTGTGGGAAGAAAGAATAGTGGTGAGTCTTTGGCAAACAAGATGGAGTACTGGGTTTTGATTAATGATTGTAAATTCCTGAACACACTGGATTTTTACTGGGGAGTGAGAGCCAAGTTGAAAGGGAAGTAAGCCAAGCCCTGTGATATGCTGATTTGGCAGCTCAAATCAAGAATGCTAAGATTTTGCATGTATTGACTTGTTATAGAGTGCCGTTGAAACATAGATTAACTGTTTTTCTTTTTTAAAAGTGTATCTAGACATCATAACTATGCCTGGCTTTTGGTAATTTCCCCCTAGTCTTGAATTCATTTTGAAAATGGTTCCTCTCTGCCTCCGACATGGTCCCTACGCACGTTCTCTTTCCTTTTAATTCTTAGTCCCTCCTCGAGTGCTTACCATCACCTAAGTGGTAAGCTGCGTGCACAGAAGTGGGTGGAGCGCTGGTGCAGGCTAGAGTGGGGAGGGAGAGTCTCGTGCTTCTGCAGCGCTTAAATAACAAGTGAGCAGCAACGTGCTCGGCTTTTAATACTGGAATTCATACAGCCACCTGAGCTGTGTGTAGTTTGTTCTCTAGGTCTTAATTACGCTTTCTCCCCACCACGTAGTTGATTTTCTGGCACCTCTGTGTATGTGGTTGGGGCACTGGGAATTGTAGAAACAACTATCCTAGCAGAGCAGATTCTTTGGAAATTGCCTATTTTCATCTTTCATGTTTATATAATGTTTTGTATGTGTTACTCTAAAAGTTATTTATGATTCTTAACAAACTACAAAATATTTTCCCCTGTTTTTTCCTTTTGTTTTTGTTTATGATAAATTTGATTTACAGAAGTTTTAGATATTTGTGCTAAATGACGGGTTTACCTTTTGTAGTTTTAATCTTTGGGGCTAAGTCCCTCCCTCCCGTCCCCTCAGAGTCGCCTTTCCTGTCTACAGCTGCTTTTCCTCTTTTAGGATGATCCCTTTTATCTTAATAGAAATCACATTTTTTTCTTTCTTTTCTTTTCTCTTCCTCCTCTCCTCCTCCTCCTCCTCTTCTTCCTTTTTTTTTTTTTTTTTTTTGAGGCAGAGGCTCTTTGTAGCCTGTGCTGGTCTGGGACTTGCTGTGGTAGACCAGGCTGGCCTAGATGTGTTGATCCTCCTGCTTCTGCCTCCCAAATGCTGGGATTATCTCACCCATGTGTAACCACATTCTTTATTAATTGTTTGACTCCTCGTATACTAAGACAAAGTCGAAATGTAAAATAGGGGGTAGAGATAGGAGGCTGAAGAGGGGAGGAGGCAGTCCTAGCTCCAGAGCATCACTTGAACCCAGAGTTGGATACTAGTGTGGGCTCAAAAAAGAAAAAAGAAAAAAAAAAAAAAAACAAAAAAAAGAAAAAAAAAGGCAGAAAAGGGACCCTAGTCCTTGTTCCTACCCAGTGACTGCCCTAGAGACCTTCACCTCTGACTGGGCCTCCTGCCTCTGATTCCTGCCCTATGCTGTGCACCCTCTGGTAGGATAATGCCTGATACGCTGGTAGGTGCTCAGCAGACCCTTAGTGAGCTGACATACATTGGCTCTGGAAAGGTTCTCATTTTTCCACTTCTTCTCTTTTCTTTGGACAGCTCTTTGCTTTGCTCTTCCTGGAGGAACCACACAATGTTTTCCAAACTAGCACGTTTGCAGGCTGCGGCCATTCTTTGTCGAGGAGTTCACTCTTCAGTGACTTCTGCTGCATCTGTGGCAACTAAAAAGACAGTCCAAGGCCCTCCATCCTCCGACTACATTTTTGAAAGGGAATCTAAGTATGGTGCACACAATTACCACCCTTTACCTGTAGCCCTGGAGAGAGGAAAAGGTATGTTTTGAATGACTTCACCCCCACTTTTGTTTGAAATGCTTTATAAGAATTAGTACTTTTAAACTTTCTCAGTGTCTGTGTTCCAAGACTTATTGGATGTCCGTTGTAGATGGGCTCCTCCAGCTTTCACTGGGTGTCTGGCACCTGCATCAGAGGACTGCGCGGCAGAGATAGGAAACTCCGTGAACTGCTGTCATTCTCTTGTTACCTTATGATTTGCTTTTATTTTAGCATAACTCTAGACTCAGAAAAATCATGACGGTAATATTGAAATGTTCTGCAGTGTTCTCTGTCTTCCTCTTCCACCCCCACATACACCTTGTTTTCTGAGCCGTTGGAGAAGTTGTAGCCTTGATACCTCTTCATACCTGGATACTTAGTATGTCTTTCCCAAGATAGAGTCCACAGGAACTTTATCATTTATGGCTATCAGAATCCACAACTTAACACTGATACAGCACTAATCCAAATTTCATTTCTGTCCTTTATAACAAAAGAGAACTTTAGACCTTGAGTCACAGCCACTTGTCAGGTCCAGTTGTCCGAATCGATTCCTTAGTTGTAGTCTTGTTGATTCTTGTGCTATGGGATTGAACCCAGGACCTCAAGTCAGGTGCGGTACCACTGCAGTGTATCTTGAGCTCCTAAGCAGTATTCTTTCTTTTTTTTTAAAAAAATTATTTATTTATTTTTATTTTATGTGTATGAGTGTTTTGCTTGCACGTATGTAAGTGCACCTGTGTCATGCAGTGCCTGTGGAAACTAGAAGAGGCTGTCAGATCCCCTGGAACTGGAGTTGTGGATGGTTGTTAGCTGCCATGTGGGTGCTGGGAACTGAACCTGGGTCCTCTGAGAGCAGCCAGTGCTCTTGTTTTTAAAATCTTATTATTATTTTTATTTATGGCTATATTGCCTGCATGTATGTAACTGTACCTGGGTTGTGCAGGGCCCACAGAGGTCAGAAGACGGCATTGGAAAGCTGGTCTGGAACTCACTACATAGACCAGGCTGGCCTTGAACTCATAGAGATCCACCTGCCTCTGCCTCCCGAGTGCTGGGATTAAAGGTGTGCACCACCATGCCCGGCGCTTATTTTCCTTTTTAAAAATTATAATCAAATACTTTCCGGATTTTTGTCTGTATGTAACTTTTTGCTTTTAAATTCTCATTTTGGTTCCTGAATGTTAAAATTGGGTAAAGGTAGCACTCCAGAGTTTGTAACCTTTTTCTATTATTCTCTTAAATAGATGCTTCAATGTTCATTAAGCTTGAGCTAAACCAAACCTTAGCCATACAACTATATTAGATAGAGTTTTATATGTGGGCATTCAGAGGGTTTCTTTTTTCAGTCTTTATTGCGGGGTGGGGAGGTTACGGCATACAGCAGTTTTCTAAACTCATCTTCCTTCCCTGTGTATTTTAGGTATCTATGTTTGGGATGTGGAAGGCAGGCAGTACTTTGACTTCCTGAGTGCTTATGGTGCTGTCAGCCAAGGGCATTGCCATCCCAAGATTGTGGCTGCCATGAAGAGTCAGATGGACAAGCTGACCTTAACGTCTCGGGCTTTCTACAATAATGTGCTCGGTGAATATGAGGAGTACATTACAAAGCTTTTCAACTACCACAAAGTTCTTCCTATGAATACAGGTAAAGCATTTCCTTGTTTTGTTAAATTCCCAAGAAGATGATCACTTATTTATCTGTATTGATAGATTGTCTAGGGTGACCTTGAGCTTAAATCTTCCTGCCTCAACTTCTCAAGTAACTAGAATTAAGTTGTGCACCACCATGCCAACTTATTTTCTGATAATTTAAAACATTAGTTAAATCTGAGCATCTATACCCCAATAGGAGTGGAGGCTGGAGAGACTGCCTGTAAGCTCGCTCGTCGTTGGGGCTACACTGTGAAAGGCATTCAGAAATACAAAGCCAAGATTATTTTTGCAGGTATGTAAATTCGTTAACTGTTATAATGTAAATATACCGCTGTTTCATTTATGTGACACATTATTTAGGGCTGTTTTATAAAAGTGAGTGGAATTCCTTCTTGAATTTCTATGTTAGTTCTTCACATAAGGTATTTTCCTTTTCCCCTTTTTTGTGATGCTGGGGAGTGAACCTAAGTGTGATGGACGCCAGGCAGTGCTCTGCTCCTGAGCCCTGTCCCTGGCTGTGACTTTTCCTTCTAACTCTGTAACCCTCTTTTCTGAAATGAATGACTGTATGTTTTAATTTCTCATCTGCTTATTAGATTTTAGCAGTTGTCTAGTTAATTTTTTTGTTTGTGGTGCTGAGTTTCAAATGCAGGCCCTGTCTTTGCTAGGCAAGTGTCCTACCGCGAAGCTACGTCTAAATGCAGCCAGCATTTTAGCCTTAGTATTGGATGTGCCTTTGTGTACTGCTCCTGGAAGTTATTGGGAACAAGAGGCCAGAAACTGCCTTTTGTTACACTTCTGAGAAAGGTTTGAAGAGGAATACCTCGGATTCTTGTTAGGGACACTTACGGTTAATTGGGATGATGCAATCTTTGTGTTTGTATGGTGCTTAAAAGGTAGGTCCAACTTTTTGTTTTGATTTTAATTAAAAACGGTATGTGTGGATTTCATGGTTAGAATTCATCCCTGTGGTAATGACAGTCATTTTGCCTTGTGAGCATGCACAGTTACGTACTGAAACCTGTAGCATGAGAACGATGGCAGGGGCAATTTGTACTGAGGTGATGGATTACTTATCTAGAGAAGAAATGTTTGCACAACTCTCTGACTCACCTTTTTGTTTTTTAAAGCCAGGGATTGTCTTATTAAAGTTTAGAAGAACAATCCCAGGGCAGGCAAGCTGTAAATCTCGGTAGCTGCCCAGAGGAGGGAGAGAGAAGAGGAAGAGGGAAAGCCAAGTTGTTGGTGTGACGGCAACATGCAGGTCAGACACACGGCTAGGGTGAGGGCTTCAGAGAAGCAGTGAACACGTGCGGAGTGTCAGAGAGAGCGTATCTATCCTGCCGGCACCCAAAAGAGAAAGGCTGAAAGGAAGAGAAAAGGAGAGAGTAACACTTTTCTGAGTGAGGCAGAAAAACAGGCTCAACCGGGCAGCATGGCTGTGACTCTTTTGGTGCTGCCTGTAATTTACCATTTTAAAATCTTGAATTTTGGGGGCTGGAGAGATGGCTCAGCAGTTAAGAACACTGACTGTTCTGCAGAAGACCTGGGTTCGAATCCCAGCACCCACATGGCAGCTAACAACTGTCCATAACTCCAGTTCCAGGGGATCCAACGGCTTCTTCCATCTACCTTGGGCACTGCATGACACGGGTGCACTCACCTACATGCAGGCAATACATGCATACACATAAAATAAAATAAGAAATAAAATATTAAAAAAATGTTGAATTTTAATCGTAAGATAGCCTGGCTGTCTCTTATACACTGTGTCTAGTTTCTCTCATAGTTGAAAGGTGTTTTCCCCCAAGTATTAAAAGAGGCTGGTGAGTCAGTGGAGTGGAGAGACAGTGGAAGACTCTCCACACTCAAAAGTCCCTATGTCTGTAGGGTGAGCTACAGGTAGTGAGATTCCCTCTGGTTAGGTGGGAGAGAACCTAGGCTCCTGGCCTCATAGTGCATGCGGTCTTAAACAAGCCCGGTCAGGATCAGTGGGCTGCTCTCTGTGGGTGAGAAAAAGATGGGCTGACTCATGAGAGAGAGGCTTTTGCAAGAGGAAGGCTTGGAGATGCCAAGAGCTACGATGCAGCAACCCAGGAGTGAGTCCCTTGAGTGCTGCTGGAAGAGATGGTGGAGAGGAGAGAGAGAAAACACCCTTATGTGGGTGACCTCCACCCCTCTCCTGCTTTACACTGTTCTTGGTTGAATTTAACCCCCATCTGAATGACCCAGTTCATTCGCTTTGCTGGCTTATAATATGTTTGCTTCCTACTAGAGAGTAAGCTCTGAGCACAGGCGCTTGCCACACTGATTACCATTCCATCCCTGCTCCTGGAGCAGTGCCTGACCTTTAGGAGGTCCCTCAACACATTTATTAATGGACACAAAGTGATCCTGAAGGAAGGCAGACATCTGTTTCATTTTGCATTATTGAAGATTATACTAAGGAAGGCAAAATGGAAAGTGTTTGGATTGCCTGAGGGCCTTTGCTGTAAATGTATTTGAAAATGCATTCTGCTGAGTAGTTGGCCTGCAGTAGTTTTCAAAAGGAAGCTGCTAATTCTCTATGAACGAGATTCGCTTTCTTATTCCCGTCAGAAATCCACCTTCCCTGTGTAGAAAACTATAGCGTCTCGGTTGGTGGTGCTTGGTGTCGGGCTTGGAATGGTTCTGAGAAAAGTGCTGTATGACAGTCAAGTGAGCTTAATAGAGATGGGCCTAAAATAGCAATTGCAAGGCCGGCCAGATCTACCGACCCTGTGTCAGATGAGCCTTTGGGCTTAATATCAGATTTAGCTTGAATAATTGAAAGCTCACTGGAGGTTCTCTAGAGCAGACCCTTGGTTTATTTTTAGTCCGACTTTCTGAGGTGTTTTGTGCTTGCTGAATTCGTGGGTGTCCCTGGGACAGTCACTCTTTGCCTCTCTCTTCCAGCTGGAAACTTCTGGGGCCGAACACTGTCTGCAGTCTCCAGTTCCACAGACCCAACCAGTTATGAAGGCTTTGGACCTTTCATGCCGGGCTTTGAAATCATCCCATATAATGATCTGCCTGCACTTGAGGTGTGTCAGGGTCCATGTGCTTGGCTTAGAGTAACTGGGAATTATTGAATGAATTATTACCTGTTCAATATGTGAATTAAAAATACATTAACAAAGACTGGGGAGATTGTTCCGCTGTAGAACAGCTTGTGTGAAGCCCTGGGCTCCATCCCCAGTACTGCAGAATAAATAAACACACAAAGTTAAATGAGTCTTTGAAAATTCATCTTAAGTTAGGCCAAGATTTCAGACTTCTTAGTAATGGCAGTTAGTATCCCACCTAGTGAAAACTCACTTTTATCATAAATTTATGAACTGTTGTTTGTTTTGTTGTGTTTCTGTGGTGCTAAGGAGAGAACCCAAAGCCTTGCAGATGCTAGGCAGTTGCTGTCGAACTTAGCTACATTCTTTCCCCTAATGCTTGTGTAAAACTAAACAAAACGTCCCCAAGATGGCTTTAATAGACTACTTACTGTAGGTTTTATTTATAATACATATTGTTAGAAAAATGTAGGGATGGGGCTAGGGAGATGACTCAGCAGTTAAGAGCACTGGCTGCTCTTGCAGGGTTTGGTTCCCAGCACCCACATGGTGGCTGACAATGCCTGTAATTCTAGCTCCAGGGTGTCCAGTGCCCTCTTCTGGTCTCTGTGAGCATTGCAGACATATGATACACTTATAAACATGGAAGCAAAACACCACTCATACGCATAAAATAAAAATAAATAAAAATTTAAAAAAAGAAAAATATAGGGATAATCTGTGCATGATGGTACATACCAGTAAAACCAGCACTCTGGAGTGTGAGGAAGGTGAGATGTGCCTGGGCTTCATACAGGACCCTGTCTGTACATGCGCGTGCGCACACACACACACACACACACACACACCAAACCACAAAACAGCATAAAAAACCAGGTGTGTGGTGCTTCCTGAGTCCTAGAATTACAAGTGTGACCCACCACAGCCCAGCTTCATTACTTATTCTTGACAGGAAAATATGCATAGTATATGATTCCAGATTGTCAAACATGGTAGAAAGGAAGCTGTTAAAACTTCTGTTTTTTTTTTTTTTTTTTTTTTTTTTTTGTAGCGTGCACTTCAGGATCCCAATGTTGCTGCCTTCATGGTTGAACCAATTCAGGGTGAAGCTGGTGTTGTTGTTCCAGATCCAGGATACCTAACAGGAGTGCGGGAACTCTGCACCAGGCACCAGGTTATCCTGCTAGCTTTGTAATAGGGCCAAACCAGCTGTGCGTCTTTGAACTCTACTGCTGGGATGAGAGAGTCGCCTTTCACTAGAGGGAGACATTCCCAAGAGTTGAGGAACTTCCTAGTGCTTAGAAATGTGCATGAAAGTTAACTTTTCAGTCTCTAGGACACTAGCCGGACGCTGAGCTGTGGTCAGAGCCACAGACCTCCGGTGCTCATCGTGAGTTTCCTCTTCGGAGCCTGCACTCCTTTAATCCCCCCCAGCCCTCGTCATATGTCGCTTCGCTCCAAAAGTTAGGACCTTCCCCTTCTCCCATCAAAGCTAATGTTAGTATAGTTTGCTTGCCATTGAGAATTCCAGGAACCATTTGATAATTATGCGTGGGATAATTAAGTGAATTGCTCCTGGAGTGTAGTTGGAGCCATGAAAGCCCTGCAAGCTCTTCATGTTTGTATGAGTGCCTTTCTACTATGCAGAGTGCTGCCAAATGGGCCCCTGGGAGGTAGTAGTCTGACACAGGAAGCAGTATGTCCACAGCTTTACCATAGGACACCCTTGAAATTGTGTGGCTAATTAGAACATCTTCAGAGGTTGGAGGGCATGTCAGGCAACACTTTTGTTGGGGGAAGGGAGTCAAATACTGGCCACTGTGGTAGTGAAAATGACAGTTAGTGTTCCTGTGCTGTTTCTTGCTAGGTCCTGTTTATTGCTGATGAAATACAGACGGGGTTGTCCAGAACTGGTCGATGGCTGGCTGTTGATCATGAGAATGTCAGACCTGACATGGTTCTTCTTGGGAAGGCCCTTTCTGGTGGCCTGTATCCTGTAAGTTCAGCTCTGGGCCTTTCTTTCTAGTTCCTTCTCTCCTGAAACACTCTCCTCTTTAACAGCTACCTGTTGTGACTCTGATACCTTCAGGGGGTTTGAGTGTGCTACAGACTGCCTGGAGCCTCGGCAGTAAAAGCATTTTTGGGTTCACTAGTGTGACCTACTTAGTTGATTTTGACCAAAGAATGGAGTGTGTGCCTCAGGATTTGCTGTGGTATTTGGTGTGGATGGAAGTTTCTCTCAGAAGTGCCCCCTTCTCCCCACTTCCCAGAAGTGTAGCATTGCTGTTTAAAGCCATTAACAACGCACATAGAATTGAGAACTGTTTTGTTGTAGTTTTGTTCTTCTTGGGTTTCTATCTAAAACCAGTAATAGGTGAGATTAAAGGGCTTTGAAGGATGGTCGTTTCTGCTGTAGAGACTAAGTTGTCTTCTGGAAGAGAATGCTCAGGTTTGTTTTCTAAGTGAAGCATTTTGGAAAGGACTATAAATTATATCATTGCAAAAATAGCTTTCTCCCAAAATGTACTATACTTTTTTGTGCCATTAAAGTGTGCTTCATGTACCTATGGTATATTGGGGTATATCTTGGGTATTACTGGGAATTACAGGGAAGATGTAAACTCTTTTATGTTGAAACTTTATAGAAATTTAGTATCATCTTCATAGAGATGTCTGTGTTCCTGCTGTGCTAAGAATCTGAGAAATGTCATGATGGCTTTGCTGTCTTTCAGGTGTCTGCAGTGCTGTGTGATGATGAGATAATGCTGACTATTAAACCAGGGGAACATGGGTCAACGTACGGTGGAAATCCACTAGGCTGCCGAGTGGCCATTGCAGCCCTTGAGGTGAAAACTGATATAGCCAAACGATTCCCATTTTAAGTAGTGTTGAAGTAATTTGTACCTCAGGTCCTGGTGTAATAAGAAATATAATAGAATTGTCAGGTATCAGAGAAGAGGAAATAGTGGGAAAAGATTTTAGAAGCAAGGAATTCTCAAAAAGTAAGCTAGCAAGTCAAGCCTTGACTGATAGGCTGTGTTCCTCTGGGAGGCCTCTTTGGTTTAGCAAGCATTGTTTACTTTCTTTTGTTTGTCTCTGTTTATTTGTTTGAGTCAAGGTCTCACTAGTGCACACTGGCCTGGAATTTACTCTGTAAAGTAAATTACAAGCTGGCCAGCTCAAAATCCTCCCGTGGTAGCTGCCTAGATACTGGGACCACTGAGCTCTGCTTCCTTTTCTAAAATGTGGATTTGAGGGCTGGAGGTCTGCTAGTTCAGTGGTAGAGTGAGGCCTGGTTCCATTTTCTGACACCACACAAATAACAAAGTCAGGGCAGGAGGATCACAAGTCTGAAGCTAGCCTGGGAAATTTCTAATATTTTTAGACTTAAGGTATAGGTATTATATAATCTCCAAGGATAGACTTTTTATGGGAAAAAGGGAAATTCTGTTGCAGTTTAAAAGCTAAATTATGGGTGCTGAAGAGATAGCTCAGCAGTTAAGAACTCTGGCTGTTCTTGCAGAAGACCTGGGTTTGAATCCTAGCACCCACACGGCAGCTAACAACTGTCTGTAACTCCAGTTACAGGGGATCCAACAGCCTCTTCTGTCATCCTTGGGCATTGCACGACACAGGTGCACTTACCTACGTGCAGCCAATACACGCATACACATAAAATAAAAAAAAATAAAATATTTTTTAAAAAAGCTAAATTATTTTTAGTGCATTGAGCTGTTTAGATAATGACATTAGATAATATCATAAGGACATTAAACACATTGAACCCTTCTTTTGCTGTGACGATAGATTGGCAGTAGATCTGTGACTAAAGCAAGGCCCTGAGGTGGCCTGTACAGTTGGTCTTTCTCATCATGGGTTCCCTTTGCTTAAAGCCCAGCTGCCTTATGTGGATTGCCCTGGGGCGGTATAAACATTTGTACCATTTTTCTTAAAACATAGGTGTTGGAAGAAGAGAAGCTTGCTGAAAATGCAGACAAGATGGGTGCTATCCTGAGGAAGGAGCTCATGAAGCTGCCCTCCGATGTGGTGACTGCTGTGAGAGGAAAAGGACTGCTGAATGCCATTGTCATTAGAGAAACCAAAGGTCCGTTCATAACACATTGGACTCTAGACTATTCTTGAAGTACTGGTTGGGGGCAGTCCTCGGTAGCTGTTGACTAGGTTGTGACCAAGTCTCTTATATAGAGCATGATCTGATTGTATTGGTTGACGTTATCCAGAATACAGGTCAACAACCTGAAGGCATGTTGAGCTAGTGTGACCTGGTGTTTGTTCCTTGTAGACATTTTGTTTTCTGCCTTCATTAGTCATATAGCACCTGGAAAATCTGGTTTATTTTGTTAGTCTGGTCAGAACACTCCCTTCCACTCCTCCTTGAATGCCTCTTACGTCAGCAGAGGTTGTAGGAGCAGTAGGTATGAAGGACTGACTTTGATGGTGTTGATAATAAAAGCAGTGGAGGCTTGATGCTTCTGTGCCTGGTTTATCACCCTCCAGGGTCCCTGCTGCGCATTCTGGGGATTCCAGCAGTGGCTGCACTTTAGAATCAACGAGGGAGCTTTTTAAAAAAAATTAAAAATTTTTTTTTTGAGAATTTCATACCTGAGTGTTGTCTTTGCCTTATTTCTATTCCTCCCCTTCCCACCACCTCCTCCCATGTCCCCACTCCCTCTCAACCGCTTGTCCTCTTCTTTGATTATTTTTGTTACATAATATACCTAGATACACATACGCACACACACACACACACACACTACACTGAGTCCATTTCTGCTACTTGTGTGCACCTGTGTCTAGGGCTGGCCACTTGGGATTAGGTAACCTCTCAGGGAGCTCATCCCTAGAGGGAAATGGTTTTCCTTCCTTCAGCACGTGGTGATTGCCTATAGCTCTTCATCTTGACATGCAACCTGTGACATTCCTAGGGAGCTTTTGAGAAACTTGCTGTGCCTGACCTTACCCAAGAGTGTCATTTGATGGAGTGGGGTGGGGCGGGTACAGGCAGCAGTGATTCTGGCCACAGCCAGGTTGAGAACCACTGCTGTGAAGTGCTGTCTAGTTCCACACGCTCCGGAGGCACGTGCATCTCAGGAATGCATGGTTCTCCTCTGGCGTTGCTTGTCTGTCATTTAATTGTCTGTGTCCTACCCAAGTTCCTTTGCCGGTTCCTTATGATTATCAGGCATCCCTAATCTGAGAAGCCAAAATAACCCAAATCTGAAATGTTTTGACAACCAGAGGTTGAAGATCCCACACTTGACCCCAAGGGACAGGTCATAACAAAATGCAGGTGCACTGAAAGTATTGTGTGGGATTACTTCAGGCTGCGTATGTGAAATATGTAAGTGAGTTTCACGTTTAGACATGGGTCCCTTTCCAAAGCTATCCTCCTCTCTGTATGTATATGCAAACATCCCCAAATTGGGACCCCTCTGGTCCCAGCCATTGCAGTTCATGGTACTTGGCCTGTAGCACTGGAGTCTCAGGATAGATAGTTTTCACTCTGCTTTTTAATTTTTGTCTAAGCATGCCATTCAAACCTAGTTATGTGCTTGCCAAAAAGTCAGAAGCAATATAATGTTTATTCTTTTTTTTTTTTTTTAAATTTTTAAAAATGATTTATTTAATAACAACATACTTAGAAGAAGCATATCTTTACAACACAATTGACATATTCAATAACGGTTTCCTGAGGTAGGATGCATCTCTTTCAAAATTGGCTGTAAATTTTTAGGTTTACAGTTGAATTAATATAATTA